CGAGGGCGCAGCACGGAGGCCGCAGGCCCCTCCTGCCGCCCGCCCGCCGCCCCCTCAGCAGTGGGCTGCGTCCAGCGGCCCGTTCTGCTCCCCGCTCTGCCTCCGGGGAGGCCTCTCGCCGCCCTGCACCTCTGGCCTGTGGCCACTTCTGTGTGCATGAGTGAAGCTTTAAAAAAAATAGCACTAAAAAAAAATTGCAAAGGCTGAAGTCCAGCACGAGGCAGCGTGACCACGGGCCACCGAAGCCTCCGGCCTCCCTGGACACCGCGGGCTAGCGCCGTCCTGTCCCCCAACAGGCGGGTGGCGGCCCCAGGAGCAGCTGCCCGTGTCCCCGCCACCCCCGCGGCACGGATTTCAGTGGACCCGCCTGTTCGGCTCCCCACTTTGTCTCTGGGGAGTGCCTCGCCCCACGCTTCCGGCCTGGACCCCAGCTCTTGTGTGTGTGAATAAATGAGTCTGTCTTTAAAAAGAAAGAAAACCCCGAGGGGAGTCTGGAGTTTCAAGCTGAAGGCGGCGAGCGGGAGAGCAGGAGCGGGGAGGGGCTGCAGTGGGCGGGCGCCGCGGGCAGACAAGCCCGAGGTGGGGAGCGCGGGGAACAGAGGCCGGGGCGGCTGACAGCCAGCCAGGCAGACAGCGCTGACGAACGCGCGGGCCCGGCCACGGACGTGGGGCGCAGACCGCCGTGAGGCCGCGGTGACCGCCGAGGGGCTGGCCGAGAAGGCCGACGGCAGCCGTGCGGCGACCCCTTGCTCGTGCCCCTTGGGGACACGAGGTTCGGTCTGGGGTCACTCTAGGAGCCCCACACCCGCCACAACCAGCCACACCGCTGCAAGCTCACGCCAGGGAAGCCAGGCCGGGGCCACGCAGGGCCTGCGTGCACCAGCGCCCGCCACGGCCAGCGGCCACGCGCCACAGCGCCGAGCACAAAGCGCAGGTCTAAGCGGCGGAATACTACACAGCGATGAAAAAGGACCACGGCGGAATCTCAGAATCATCGAGCTGGAAACGACGCAGGAATGCCTGTCATGTGGCTCAGACGTGCACAGTCCCACAGTGACAGGGCACTCGTGGCGCACGGAGGCCAGTGGCTGCCGAGGGCCCGGCGCCCTCCCCTCGCGGCAGGGACTGCACGCACAGACGCTCCGTCCCAGCCCGGGGCTGCACCCTTCAAGCAGATGCGGGTCTCGCGCGGGTTACACCGCACCCTGGCTGGCGTTCAGTGGAGACAGCGCAAAGCGCTCAACCTCTGGCAACCTGGACGGAAGGGCAGATTCCCGGGGCACCAGCTGCCAGCCAGCGCTCCGGGAGACCGGGAGCCGGCACCTCCAGAGGCGGCAGCGTGGCGATACAGGATCCCTCCAGGAAAGCGCCGTGGCAGAGCAGCAAACGCCAGAGGCCGGGGGCGTGAGGGGAGTCGGGGAGGAGACACCGTCCACCCTTCGCGGGCCCAGCATCACCCAGACTGCGCCCACCGCCCTGGCGAGGTCACGCAGCAGCAGCAGCTCGGCGCCAGGGGGAGGGGCAGTGCGGGCCCCCGGCGTCCCTGCCCCCTGGAAGGGGAGGAGCCAACGGCCTGCCGGCCTGTGCCCCCGGGCGCCAGGGCTAAGGGGCAGCAGGCGCCTGGCAGCGGCCGGCTGCGAACTCACCTTGGCCCACGCCAGCTTCTCCCGGACGGCGGCGTTGTGGGGCTCCACGTGGCGCGCGAACTTGAGGTTGCTGACGGTGTACTCGTGGCCGCAGTACACTTTCTGGGGGGAAGCCCGAGACCGCTGCACACCCGGCCAGCAGCGCCCCCGCGCCCGCCC